GTATCACCTAAAAGTCAGGAAGGTAACAGGGGAGTACTACCAAACCAACATGGATGTGTAGGACAAGTCACCAGGACTTTCCAGGCCAGTGCTGGCTATGCTGACACAGCCATATATCACAAAGTCCCTCACACCTCAACATCTGTTTCATGTATGAACACCAGCTGCACCTTCCCAACACCTGCCCTATGCCAAGCAGGCTGCAGGCAATGGGCCCACACACACATCAGCCTCATGCTATCAAAGCCAATCAGAAGAGACCTGACCAAAAGTTAATTCCCTCAAAACCAGTCAAATTCCCTGCCCCAGTGCCAGCTCCATCACAATGTATGGACATGGGCTAGGGCATGGGGCTGCTCCAGAGGCAAGCTTAACACCGGCACCCTGGGCTTTAAGGGCTTCTGCAGCCAAAGCCTCAAAGGTGCCAGCATTTGCAGAGCTGCAGACAGACATGTTACACACAGCTGACTAATTCCTCTTCCAACCCTGTTACACTTAGGCCTGTCTGAACCCCCATATTCTACCACCGTTTGTACCAGAGCTCAGCTACACGCTTTCTGAAACAGACTTTGTGAAAAAAAAACAACTACCTGGTTAGAGCTAGGCAGTACTCAATTTGTCAACAGCCTGTGCTAATGTCAAGCTGAGAATGAATCTGGACCAGTTCCCTGATTCAACTTACTTCCCAGACATATGGGCCCTAATCTAATCACATGGGCCAGGGTACAAGTCCAGTCATCTTTTCTCAACAACACACATCTATGGCTAAATAATCACAAAGCTGTAGCTTGCTGCCGTTGATCTTTTTTATCTGAGTTTTTTGACAGCCACTCTCTACTGAGCAGTTTGGATTAACCCTTTCTGTGTTCCAGTTATAAAAACACACCACATCAGAAACAACAAAAGACAATCACTTGAATCAGGAGTCAGAAACTTATGGTGGCTTGCCCCCTCCACCCCACTTTTTTTTTTTTTCTTTTTAAATGGGGGCACCAATAACACTGGATCATCAAAATTTATACTTGGTATTGTTTACACATAAACTATTACATTCCTCCAGCTGCTCGGCATGCAGAAAACAGGTCATTTCAAAAAGCAGTGACATAGAGCTCTTGTCCAGATACAGCTGCTTTCCCCAGTTCAGGCTCCAAGGCCTCCACAAAACTCTCCTGAACAGAGGAAGCTGTCACTCTCAATCACCTACTATTGAGCTGGTGGAAGTGGTATCTTTAAATATCTGTGTCATGCCTCCCAAGGTGAGGGACCTGCACAACAGGCTCCAGACAAAGCACAATACACACAGGACACTTCCAACATAAGCAAGACTATTTCTTGGTTCCCTCCAGGGCCACATGATTGATTATGACAAACACAACAGCCACTGCTTTTGTTAGGTGCTAGCATGCCTTCTCTCCCAGCACGCTCCCAGGACTATACCCTCGCCTAGTTCTGAGCAAAATTACAATTCAACCCACTAGCTGCAGGCAGACACCAAGTTTGCTGCGGCACTGTCAATTGCAGGGTATGAGGAGGCCATTTTACATATTCTCCTCTGCTCTCCTTACAGGAAACTAAACATCCTCAACCTGCTACCTCAAGGCAGCCCCTCTGCTGGACAGACTCCCATCCCACCTGCCTTTCGGGTACCAGTAAGCAACATCAATGGTGTTGTTCCTTCCCATTTCCCACTCCCACTGGCAGCACCTGCATGGTAACTTTCACACACTTGGGTACCACTCTTGGAGGAAAGAAGCAGCTCAGGATTTGGGGGCGTGTGGGGAAAGAGATGAAAAACTTTAGGCTTCCATAGTAAGTGTAAACAGAGTATGCAGAATTTGTTGCCTAACAAAGAAACCACAGAAAATAATAACTTCTCACTCTGACTGATTCTAAAGTCACTTCAAAGGGACAGAGCTTAAGACACTGACAGAAGTGACAGAAAAACTCATAATTGCAATCTCCAAACTCAAAACACAGACTGAAATAACAGCTTAGCAAACACCCGAGTAATTCAGAGCTCTCACAGCCAGCCTGCCTTGACAGTTCTCCTTTTGCTCAGCTTCTAGAACCAGGCCTGAGGAAGCAACAGCCCAAGAAGGCCCAGCCTGACGTGCCCTCCAACTCAAAATACCAGCTCACTGCTAACAGCAATTAGGATCCCTATTTCCTTTTGTGTAATCTCTAGGTAGGTACTCCTGCTTCACCCTGCCATACAACATACGGACCTACTGATGCAGGACAGATGGAAGTAGAACAGCTGAACTGCCAGCAAAGCACACCCGCGTTTGGTTGCAGCTGAGGTTTCAAGCCTTTGGAGGCTCAAATTGCAGAAGAGGGAACCATCTAGGTATTGCACCCATCAATCAGCCTTCGGGTGTTCATGCACCCATCAACCCCTGCCTGTATATAAACTCAGTAAAACGTAGGCAACACCTTCCTTTCCTCCAGAAAAATACTCTTCCTTATCAAAGCAGGGACTCCCACATGCAGTTTGCTCCCTTCCTCTGTCACTCACAGGGTAGCAGAAGCAGCTCTCTAAGTTCCCAAACTAGCACCCCAATATCATAGCTGCTTCTTCTCCCACCCCCTTCCAACTCAAAAGCATCCCAGCTGCAAGCTTCTACACAGCAACTGCACATACACAACCTTTCTCTCTGGCTCTGTTTCAGCATTCACTTACAAACTGTATTATTAACAGCAAAGAGATCTCAGATGGAAAATCCCCACCTTTAAAAAGCATTTCATTTCCAACTTACTTGAAAAGCAAACAAACAGGATTTTCTCTATTCCTCAATGGAGAATAAGGGGCTTTTCCTCTGAGCTAAAGGAAGGAACATTACATTCACTGGAGAGGCACTCTCAGTCCAGGATGATCCCCTCCTGCCTAATTCACTAATCTCTCTCTTCTGGAAGGCATACAACCAAACCCCTTTGTTCTTCATGCTATTTAGATACTTTGTGCCCCCTTCTTTTGTGCTTCTGTGTCCCTTTTGCCAGCAGAGTGCCCTAACAGGAGAGATGAAAAACTGGGCAGAGCACACTCTAAAAGGGTCTGCTAATACAGTAAGAAAAGGTCAAGGGAAGACTCTTAGGCAGGGGCTAAGCAAGTTCTATTATTTATGCTTTCATTTTTGCTCACCACGAGATGCTGCTTCTTCCCAGAAAGTATCAGTAAGACCTTATCTGCATTCTGCTTTAGTCAACAGATGATCCCCTACTCCAGACCAAGAGCAGAAAGATTCAGACAAAACAGGACATCCAGGCAATCAGACAACAGGAAGTCAGACAAGTAGGAGCAACAAACACCACTTCCAGACCACGCTTCACAGTACATGCTGAGCAGCAGACTAAAGGCAACAGCCTTCAAATAACAGAGTCCATCTGGCCTAGGTGATTTATACCAATGCTTCTGTGCTATCAAGACACTGATCACAAATAACACACGGTCAACATACAGCAGAGAACATCTCAAGTGCAACAAAAAGCAACTATCAACAGTTGCTGTAGTCTCACTTATCATCATAAGACTGCAACAACTCACTTCAACTTGGAATTATAGATCTCTACAAATGGCATCTATTGAGATCCACAACTGCAATTAATTAAGCAATACATTAGAAGCCATTTCTGGAATCAGATTTTCACCTAAATCCGGATGGAGATGGACATAAATGAAATCCTTGATGTTCTCCGCTTTCAGAAGCTCACAGCATTCATGCTTTGCCTGTGCACCGGCAATGGGGATCTACGTGCAAAGGACAACATTTAACAAGAGCTTCTCCTCACACTTGCAAACAGTACTGTTGGCAAAAAGAAAAGGTGCAGTTGTCCACACATTTTTGTTAGGGACACCTTTTCATAATCAAGACTTTTCTGGCTGAGTCAGTCAAACATATCCCTTTTGAGGACTTCTTGTAACTTAAATAATTATCCAAGTAATATGACAACGTGTACAATATTACAGTACGTAATGTGACAATTAGCCTACGTTAATCTTACTCAATAGTTGTCTGGTCCAAAACTCCTGTTACTGGGATCCCATAAAACTGTTGCATAGTGGCAACTGCGGACTGCACAGCTTTTCCTGACTGCAAGGCAGACATTTGGCTGTCAGATGGAAGTAAGTAGCCGTAAGTTTTTAACCAACCCTGAAAAAGAAAGAAACAGATGGTAAGATGCCATGGTAAGTTTTCAACTTAACAGATCGGAACATTGCCTCCAAAGGAAAAGTGATGGACTAGTGCAAAAAACTCAACCACCTCTCTTTTTTTGGTTAGGTTTGGTAGTATCATCTGATCCCTGGGAAGGGCTGAAGACCCAACTTAATATCACTTGTCCTGACAGGACAATGCAGACCTGCCAATTAAAAATAGCTGTCACCACTAATGAGTGACTGGGGCAGACTTGGGTCTTTGGAGCACCAGAAATGCCCAAGAAGTTCTATCCTTGTTCTAGAGACCTCCTGTGTCCCCTGTCATCTTGCTATTATGAGATTCCTCAGTCCCCACAGCAGCACACCTCCAGTAACCCACAGCCCAACACCTACTCCTGTCTTTGACCATCACTCCAAGCAAACAGCTTAACAAAAAGGCCTGGGCAGTCCCCAAAAACATAAGTTCAGCTTTATGCTTGCACTGAGCATAGAAGTATTTCTTAAAAAAAAAACAAACAATCAAAACCAATAAACCCAACAAGAAAAAAACCCACACTCAGAAAGTTTGCAGGGACTCTGATTAGATGGACTCTTCCTCTAGTGACAGCAGATACCCAGCAAATTGTCAGAACAGGAAAAGAGCCAACTCTCCTCAAGGAGCTTTGGCTCCTTCCCTGCCTCGCCCCCGGAATGCAGCCTTAGATAAAAACCACATCAGACTTGTCAAAATATTAAGGACAGCATTTTCAAAACCACCCATTAATGCAAGGTAATTTTTTTCCTCCCTTCTTTTCACCCCCTCTCACTTTGATACCATGAGAACAAGGGATATTAATTCACCATTAAGTGCAAGTGTCAATAAAATGTGAATGAAGGCTTACTTGCAAAAACTTTTCACCATAACTTTTCACACACACACTCTAGTGCTTCCTTCTTCTGGCCAATGCCCCAGCCCTGTGATTCAATACTGAGCCCAGGATTACTACGAGATCGACAGGTATCCTGTAAGCTTTTTCCAGCCACGAGGCCAATTCACCTGACGCACAGGACGCAGTCCTCAACACAGGAACGGTGACGAAACATCTGTGTGTGCTGCTTTCACATCGGCAGCCTGATCACTCAGAGCAGGGGGGAGAGCAGAGACATCATCCCTTAACACAACACAGCAGCAGGAGAGGGGCTCAAACCAGGAGCAGCACAAGGAGAACAATCCCCATTTCTTTAAGGCAACAAGATACCCGAATCTGTTGGGAGGAAGGGGCTTGCTTCCAAAGCAGAAGAAAGAAGGTATAAGCCAGCATCTGATCCGGACATATTACAGTTCACCAAGTCAATGGACACGCGGCGCTATCCAACACGGGCATCGCCAGTGACTCAAGACAAAGCCAAACTGCAAAACTGCTCGGAAACGGGACAGCTGCTGCCCCTGCCTTGGCATCCAGCGCTGGCCCCTGACAAACACGGCGTGCTGGAGCTCACGCACCAGTGGTCTGACCAAAAGACGCCGTCCTTGAGCAGCAAGGGCAGCTCACACCAAGCAAACCGTACCCCCCGTCCCTCCTGGCCAGGCTCGGACGCGGCAGCGGGCGAGGGAAAGGGCCGCCGCACGATGCCCGCACAGGCGCTGGGAGAAGCGCCGAGGCTCAGGAAAGAGCAGGCAGGGGGGGACGGCTGCCTTCGCCTGCCAGGCACAGGCAGAGGAGCTGCCAGCGCCTGTGGCCGCACTCCCGAGCGCAGCCGGGCAGCAGCTGCCGAGAGCGGCACGACGCGGGCCTACAGGAGGCGGGCAGGCTGCCGGCGGGCGGCAGCGCCCGG